CAATCACATGTACTACTAAAATTTTCTAACGAAAGTACTAAAATTAAAAAGAAAAAAAACATAATAGGGGGCATTTTCCTTGACGAAAACTTACAGTCAGAATGTTAAGCAAATAGAAAACTTTTAAAAATTTACAGAAGTTCACGTTCATTTCATTTATTCATAATTATGTGCACTGTACGTCAGTCAGCATTACATAATTTAATATGTTTATTTATTTCATGCAAACTCATTTTTAACGAATTATTTGAAAAAAAAACACGCTAAAATCCTGGTTTCGATACTCATGATGAGCACAGCACAGACAGCGCATTGTGTAGCTTTGCGCTTAACTACAAGCAAACAAGTGAAGCGCTTTGCGTTCGATATTTAAGTAGATTTTTTTCCTAAACCTGAAATGAAATTTAATTATTTAAAAACATCCCATGGAAAATATTTACTAACTCTGAGACCCGAAAGTTTATAATTCATATTTTTGGCAAAAAAATATAATTGTTACTTTAACTGAGTTGAATTTTATCTGAATGATTCTAGTACTATAATCTCCAAAATGTGGTGTCATTTTAAATATAATCAGGTCTGTGTTTGTAGTCATTCTTTAAAAACTTGTTTTTTAAATAAAATAAAAATTTAAGATTTTAAACAAATAACAATCAAAAATAAAAATTTGACAACTAAAATAAATAAAATACAATACTGATTAAAAACAAATGAAGTGAACTTCGTGATGAAATTCAGCTTGAACTTAATCTTCTTGAAATAATTGTTTGAAATAAATAAAAAACATCGTTTCTTATTATATTAATCATTTATCAGTTTTATAGTTTTTTTTTTTAATTTATACCACCAGTCTTCGCGCCAAATTGTTCGCGCCATAAACCTGTTTGTTTATGAAACTTGTTTTTCGAAACAGATAGTTTCTTTAAGGTTTAATTTGTGAGTGATAACGTGATACTGATTTGCTATACAGAAACTGAAGTTAGAATGGATATTAAGACTGGTATATTTGAAAATACATTTTATTTTTTCATTATACTAAAATATTAGTTGAAATAATGAATTTTAAATTTAGTAGTAAGTAGACGAATATTCTAATTTCTAAATGAAAAACTTATATAACTTATAACTAGTATTAGTCAAATACAACTTATAGTTATAATTACAACGCATTAACGGTACCATTAAATTAATTTTGAATTGTGTTCTGATTCGGAGACAGTTTTAAAACTTAATTTTTGACATGCCTTAATCATGATTTTGTCTCATTGAGTCTAGTTTAATTTGTAATGTAATAGTTATGGGTAGCAATTTTTAGCGTCAGGCGTAGAAATAGAACTTAGAAGTAACAAAAGGTATGTTTCACTTTCAGTTTGTTGCCATCGATACTAGTAGTAATACTCACTAATAGTATATTGTACATCTACTTAACTTTTCCACAAAATCCTTAAGAATTTAACTTTATACTATACATATGTATAAAGTCAAAAAAAATTATCTTCTGTTCCACCGTTGGATTCACTCTACATAAGTAGTTTTCTTCATTGTAGTTTTTTTGTAAAACTAATGAAGTTTCACTTAGAATACTGTTTAAAAATTTGTTGCGTTTAAGGCTTGTTATTACAGAAATATTAGCATTACCAACACGTTGAAAATGTTAATTAGTTGCACAAGAAACCACTTGATTGAGATGTTTAGAATTTTATGTAAATTTTACAAGTAATCTGCTTGTAGGTGGCCTAAGTAGTGGAATCAACAAGGTGGGAATGTATAGTTTAATCTTAAGATTAATAAGTTTGGGCCCATGTTTTAGACATTATTTTTGACAAGATTATTTATGAATTAGTTTGTGGTAGATTGACTCCAATGAACCAAATGAGCTATACTATCACATTGCTTCTCTCAGTTTTGTAAAATCAGATTTTTTAGTTTATCAGTCAGTACATGTGCATTTCTCAGTTTTCTTTTTGTGATTAGGTTCTCTGTACAAAAGTATTAATGTTTTTCTTTATCTTAGAGCCTTTAGCAGCATCTCGAAGCAAACGACAACGTGTTGATAAGTCTGGTCGGCATGCAGCTCTAGAAAAGCTTAGGCAACTTAAAGGTGGAAAACACAAATATGAAGTGAGTATGTTTGCTTCTTCTGTACTTATGCAATGAAAGATATAAATTATAAAGCTACTTTTATACTTTCTTGATATGTTTGCCTCTAAATTATATAAGTTGTTATGCACAGTTTTTAATTTACAACAGCATTAGTCATATATATATATAGTAACTAATGATTTGCTAATGCATTTAGGTTCAGAATTGATCTTCTCAAAATAATCCTAAATGAAACAAAAGTATTTATTTTCTAACAAACTGGCCAAACACTTTTTAGATAAAACAGATAGCAGTGTGTTTGAAATAATACTTCATTGAGTATTTTGATTCCAAAGAGAGCTCATTCACAGGAAATATAATATATTGTAAATTGTCTTTGTTGAAAAATGGTAAAGAGCCATCATTAAATCATCATCATGTAAAAAAAAGCTAATGGCATTTTTTTGTTAATTTTTTCTGTTGTATAATTTCTTTGATTTTCAGGTATTCGTAGGCAACTTTTTGTGCTCTCAATAAACTTTTTTAAATTAAATAATCTATATTTTTCTTCAGAAAGTCATTGAAAAGTTCTTAATATCTAATTTCTTGTGTATGTATGAAGATGTTTCCTACTTATTATTACTTAATTTGTTTTGGTTTAGTTGAAAGATGATTTACCAGTGTATGAAGAGGTTGCTGAATCTGAGTATTCCAAGCTTGTACAGTCCAGACAAGAAGACGATTGGATTGTGGATGATGGTAGGGGGTATTGTGTTGTTGATTTTTTTATACTTTTTATTTCATCAATATGAAATGGAAATATAAGTTACCAGATTGGGTTTTCTTTTTTTGCATTGATTTTCAAAGTGGAGTACAATCTCAGTTGTGCAAGCTAGCTTGCACTAGTAATATTTTGAAGGAAATAACTTTTATGAATAAAATGAAGTTTACAAATCAACTGTATAATTTATAAAGATTTTATAGTAACACAAAACAGATAATTTTACGTAGTTTTTATTTGATAAAAATGAAAGCTGTAGATGAAGTTTAACTTCCAATTTTATTTTCTATATTTCTCTGTGTGTGGGGAAATAACTTTCAGATGGTTCTGGGTATGTGGAAGATGGTCGAGAAATTTTTGATGATGACATCAATGACGATGTTGACAATAAAGGTAAGATAACAGTGTTATTAAATAACTATTTTACTACATTAATGGCTTACTGGCAGGTAGTTTAACTAGTGTTGTAAATCTTAAAGCTAAAAATATACGTTCATTACTTTTTAATACAATTATGTAAATTCTTTTAAAGCCATTATTAGTTATGCATCTAGGCTCTGAAAATACAGTTTATCTGAGGTGTTCCTTCAGGAACTTATCAAATAAGTATGTAAAACCCAGTTGTCTTTTAGGAATGTTCCATTCATCTATGTCTCTTAGGAACAAAACTAAATATACATACATTAGATTCAAACTTAAAAATGCAGAACAACTATCTTAACTGTATATGTCGCATTAGCTTATAGAGACAACAACTATCTTAATTGTATAGGTCGCATTAGCTTATAGGGACAACAACTATCTTAATTGTATAGGTCGCATTAGCTTACAGGGGCAACAACTATCTTAACTGTATAGGTCGTATTAGTATACAGGGGCAACAGATGTCTTAACTGTATGTGTTGCATCATCTTTGTGGATTTGTGAAATCTTCAACTTGCCACTTCAGTAAGCCAACTTCATGAAATAGATAAATTGGGTATACTTCAACAATTTCTGCTGGAATGTTATGCAACAAGATTTGGGTAATAAGATTATGTTAGTGAGGCATTGGACTCCTACTGCATAGAGTTGTTTATTACTACCCCATATAAATATTCTAATAGATATATAAAAGCATTTGTCAGTTTGTGTATTTGTAATGCTCATATTAAGTGTCATTTCTAATTTAAGTTGTACCATTTTTATTGATTTTTTAGAGTGTACTTGAAATTTTTTTCTATTTTCTCAATGTGATTGTTTTCCTTTTATGATGAAGGGAGATGTTTAGTAGATAAAACTCACTGATTGAAGAGCAGGGCTCCCTGGGTTCTTTTTTGAAATTATAGTTTCTTTCAACATTTTGATTTAATTTATCATGTAACTTCTGAAAACACAAAAGTACAAAGTAAAAACTTTATTATAAATACTATCACTTAGGTTGTGTTAAGGACCTGTATTCATTATCTGTATTAGCTTTGTCCAACCTGTCAAGATTTAAGTAGTTGTAAAACAAAAGCTAATACTTTGATATTCTTTGATAGTTTGTTTAGGCAAAGTATTCATGATGAAACTTTGTAGAATGGATGGCAACTGCCTGTTGTAGAGACACAAGTGTAGAAGACAATGTTTTGAAAGTCTTCTGCCTTTCATCTTCAGATCAATGTGTGTGTGTAAGATGTTGTTAGTCTTTAGAGTATTTCGGTGGATTGTGAAGAGCATGTTATGATTGGTTGGTTTATCCCTGTTTTTGATTGGAGAAGAGATTTCCCATAGATTCAACCAATGGTAACCACAGGTTACTCACCTCTAATCTGGAATCTCTGTTTAGTGGAGGTTTAATTTTGTTGATATAAAATTATTCTTTAATTTTTTCTTGTCTTCCAAAATTTGTCTGTGTCAATGATTCTAGTTTTTTCCCAATTTATTTTGTGTCCAGTTGACATGGCATGTTCTGCAATGACTGAATTTTGTATTTTCATGAGTCTTGTACTGTCTTTATGTCAAGAAACAGTAAGCTGTTTTGTTCCTCCATTTCCATGGTGAAGTGGATTCTTTTGTCTATGGAATTAAGATGTTCTAAGACTAGTAAGTTTTCATGACCTTGAGACCAAATAACGTCTGTAGAAACTTGGTTTTATAGGTGTGAATGAAAGGGCTTTTTCTTCAAAGTCCTCCTTGAAAATATCTGTTAGGATTGGAG